GTATCTTTGGTTTTCTTGTCAGGAACCATTATATTTCTTCTTTTCAAAAAAAAAATTTATTTATTTATTTGACACAGAGAGAGAGCACAAGCAGGGAGAGCAGCAGAGGGAGAGGGAGAAGCAGGCTCCCCGCCATGCAGGGAGCCCGCTGCGGGACTCGATCCCAGGACCCTGAGATCATGACCCGAGCCGAAGGCAGACGCTTAACCGACTGAGCCACCCAGGCCCCCAGGAACCATTAAATTTCTGTAGAAGAGGGTGCCTGAGTGGCTCAGTCGGTTGAGCGCCTGACTTTTGGTTTCCACGCAGGTCATGATCATGGGGTCATGGGATTGAGCCCTGTGTTGGGCTTCACACTCAGTGGAGGGCCTGCTGGAGATTCTCTCCCTCTCCCTCTTCCCTCCCCCTGCTTGCATTCTCTCTCAAATAAATAAATAAATCTTAAAATTTTTTTTTTTCTATAGAAGGAAAAAGCCCTCTGGCTGTGTGACCAATGGCTCTAACTCTGGCTGCTGGCATTTTGGGAGAAATTATTTCCACCCCTGGTGGCCCTGCCAGCTTCCTTTGCTGTGCCTGATTAGCCTGCAACTTCTGATTTCCTGTCTAGCTTAGTTCTTCAGAAACTCCTAGAAGGGTCTCCCTTCTGGAGGGTCTCCTGTCGATGCTTGGGAGAACAATCACTGGCTTCCCCAAGTTAGGCATGAGGACCCAGGGTGTCTTAATTGCTCCTCATACAGACTTCATTTTTTTTTTTTAAAGATTTTATTTATTTATTTGACAGAAACATAGCGAGAGAGGGAAGACAAGCAGGGGGAGTGGGAGAGGGAGAAGCAGGCTTCCTGCAGAGCAGGGAGCCCGATGCGGGGCTCGATCCCAGGACTCTGGGATCATGACCTGAGCCGTAGGCAGACGCCCAACGACTGAACCACTCAGGCGCCCCTCCTCATACAGATTTAAAGACTGAGCTTTACCACCATCCTCTATTTGGTGCCTGCAGTCTCTGAGCCTTTCCTGGATTTTGCTTCTGATTAGTATTGGGCACTTAAAGGGATTGAGTTTTCTCTAATCTGTAAAAAGTAGTTACCACCCCTTCATCCACTTCCATCTTCCAACAATTTTTAGACATCTCTTATCCAATGTCATCTCCTCTCCTATTCTCTTTGTGGTTTTATATATTTTATTTAGTGGGTTTTTTGAAACGGAGCATTGTCATTTCACTATAGACAACTAAATGTCAAGTTTTAGTGTTTTAAGTTTCTGTCTCAAAATTGAATTCCACTCCCTAATGGGACTCCACGAATTATTTTTCCTCTTAAAGGGGGATCTTTTAAATGGGCTTATCACACCCATTTGAGAAGCAATGGATTTGGATTTCTGACATCGTTAAATAGTGATTGACCTGGTTCATCACCTCTTCTTGGTCTGACTTCATTTGCAGTGAGTGCCAGGGAAGAAGACCTACCTATTACTCTCTGAGATTAAGTTGAATTGACTTGAATTCTTCAGGCATCTGGCTTCTAGCTTATTCCTAAAGCGGTGTACTCCTGGGCTATGTCCATGAATTTCTAAGCATTTCCAGTGGGTGGATGGTAGATGTCAGCAGTCACATGGCTAACTTAGTCCTGTGTTCTTCAATAAGTCATTGAGCAAACAATTGGAATATTTTGTATTTAATGTTTAGAATAATGAATCACTCCAGAGATTACTGAGAGAGAGTATGGAATCTGTCACTACAAGTCTTTGAAATTTGGATGAAGCCACCTGCCCAAGATATTAGGAAGGAAGGAAACTCATGCTGAGTGTGGCCCTGGGTTGAGCATTTCCATAGAGAGAGCAGGGTGGGGGATCCTACCTGATTTCTGTTCTCCCTGTAGTGTTTGTTTTTTTTTGCTGGGAGAGAAGTAGACCTGATAGGATGGGTTTTGTGTTCAACAGAAAGCTCTCATCAGAGGAACTAGAGCGAAAACGTCAAGAGATGATGGAAAATGCCAAGTGGCGGGAGGAAGAGAGGCTGAATATCCTCAAGAGGCACGCTAAGGATGACGAACGGGAACAGAGGCTGGAGAAGCTGGGTGCCCGGGATGGGAAGTTTATCCAGTGAGTGCATCTTGCTGCCTAAGGGCTTTCATGGCTGTGGTCCCAAGGAGGCAGCTGGGTAGCTGATTCATTCATTGTGTTCCTGGTGTTTCTGTGTCTGCAGCAAGAACAGGGAGGTCAGCCTCCAAGCCACCTTTGTTACTACTCCCAGCATCTAGCTAGACAGTGGGATATTTTTTATTTGAAGGAAGGAGGAGTGAATTGGTATTTTCACTGAATCTCCTTGCCTTCCATTTAAATAAGAATTCATGGCTCAGGAGGCCTTTTTCCAATGAGGCTTTACTTGGTTTCCAAAACAGATAACTTTTCCTTGATGGAAGTTATTTTAACAAATTGAGTTCCAGATGGAGTCCACTCCAAGGTTACCTGCATGGGCTTAAAAGAGCTTGGGTTTCTACATCTGCTTTATGGCTGGCAACCTGTTTCTTCTATTTCTGCCAGATAGTTGACCAGTTGACAAATATTTGTTACTCACGTTATTCTCCTGTCTTTTCTTAGCCGCATGAAGCTGGAGAGCGCATCTACCTCCTCCCTGGAGGATAGGGTGAAACGGAACATCTACTCTCTACAGAGAACCTCAGTAGCTCTGGAGAAGAACTTTATGAAAAGATGAAAGCCATCCCCTCTCTTGCTGGTTTTCCTGAATTTTCCAGGGAGGCTGCTGATCCTTTAAACATTCTCTTTATAAGAGTTCAAGTGACTTCTTGTACAGTTGTCAGAGCACCGTTGTTCAGATGACTCTCCTCCAGCGATTCCTGAGACAGCTTACTTCCTTGGGGAACCAGTGTGGCGCACTTTGTGGGACCCTCAGTAACTTTTGCTGAGTGCCTTGTAGGTTTTAGTGAGTGGGCACTGGACACTCTAGGTGTGAGCACTCATCCTGCTCTGGAAGGCTGTTTCCTGCAGTCATGATACTTACACTATGCCACTTTCTTCCCGGCTGTGAGAACAGTGTGCCTCAGTGTAGACCGGACCTTGCAGAAACCTCTCTCTCGAGTCACCCAGATAGATTGTGCTTAGTAGGGTAAATGAACATCTACTTGATTTAGTAGATAATGTGACAGAATGATGTCAGCTTAGGGCAGAGCCAAGGGGGTGACAAAGAATCTGGAAGGGAAAACAATCCAGAAAAGCACTAGATGAGCTGTTGACTATCTTTTGAACTGTAAAAGTATAGTGTGTATGTGTATAAATGTATAATTTTTACATGCTTTTTAAAAAGTTAGCTTTGTGAGAACATCTTGTTTGGTAAGTGACTGTACTATATGTTACTGAGTAATACAGTAAGGCAGGTCAGCTTTTTTTCCCCTCTGAATCCGGCTAGTTTAGGAGGAGCCTGGGTTTGTAGATAGGATCCAGGGTATCTGTCCTTTTACACTGCTTACAGGCTCCCCTGTGGGCAGTGCAGCGGTGAAGTCAAATGATTTTAGGAGTCAGGACCAAATTACTAGTGTGCTCCCACCCTGGCTCTTAAAAGAAAATAAAATGGAAGCTGTTTTATTTCATGGCTTCCTTTTAATCATGTAGTAATCTTAATACAATTGTAGATTTTCAGGAGTTTGCTACTATTTTTTAGTCAGGTATTAAAAACCCCAAAGACTTGGGACCAGTCTCTTTCCTTTACTCTTTTCCCTTTTCTGTTCTTTTACCAGAAGCCCTCATTTGACCCATGAACTCCTTAGGCCCTCTTGACCCACACATTAGCCGGGCTAGTTCCTTGTTCTGCTAATCCCTAATTCTGCTTAAAACGAATTTGGATTTATATTTTTGTGCATTTATGATGCCAGGCACTATAATACTTAAAACCCAGTCTTTCCCCAGAAAGAAAATAACACACTCTTGTTATTCATTTAATCACCTCATCCTGCTTCTCTGTGCTAATTATGTCTTTTATTTTATTACTTGGTAATAAAGGCTACATTTATTTTTGTAACTGCTTAAAGAGCAACCATGCGCTGAGTACCGAATTTACGAATTCCCATACAGAACAATACTGACCCGTAATTTGTGTCAAATGTTTGGAGATCCTTCGTCCGAGAGGAATTATATAACAAAGCGTGGGCAGTTTACTCAAAGATGTCATGAAGTGAGCCAGAGAATAAGACGATTAGGATTCTCTGCTGTAGGATAGATGTCTAAAGGTGCCGCCGGTCTCTTAACTCGACCCTTTGGAGGGAGGAGGCCAAGCGGCTGGTGGGTGGGTGCGGGACCCATTCATAAAACCCAGTGCTCCCAGCCCGCTGCTCTCATTGGCCCCGGGGAAAAGGGGCGTGACCCGCGGGTGGAGCGCTCTCCAGGCCCAGGGGAGTGGGAAGATCCACGCTTGGGTGGAGCGAGGGGGCGTTCCTTGGTTTTCCCGGCAGGACTTCCTTTTCCCTTTGCTGGGTTCCTCCTCTCTCCCCCGGGGTGGGATGGTACGTCCCACCCTCCTCGCATTCCCGCCCCTCCTCCCCTCCGGAGACTGGGCGCCGCCGCCATCTTGGCACATCAGGTTGAGGGAAAGAGCCAAACCCTGGATTGGCGGAGGGGGTGGGGGGCAGACAGGGGGACCCTCCCGCGGTAGACGGCGAGCCCTACTCCCAGCCCTCCTCCCCTCTCCGTTCCGGTGCGGGGCTCTGAGGCGTCCCAAGGCCAACCTGGTTCCTGTCAGGCCCGGGGAGGAGGGGCGTGCGGGGCAGCCGCTGCCTCCCCGGGACGGGCGCTACCACCCGAGCGGGGAGAAGAGCGCCTGCTGACGGAGGGGTGCGGAGCGAGCCGGCCGGCTCCCTGAAGCG